GAGTACATTATATTTATAATTGGTCATTCTAAAAGCAAGCCACACAATTATGACACTATATAAAACAATGCCGGATAAAATAAAACTTATGTTTATACATAAAATTGATTTTTTTTTAAAAACAAGTTAATTATATTAGGATTAATGTGATATGGTGAAGGGTATGATTACTAACCTAAATTTGAGCATGAGTACCTAAAGGGTGAAGAAAAGTGAGTACTCAAAGGGTGAAAACCCTCAAATGTGAGTACCTAATTGTTAGCTTAGTCAGGAATGGTGTAATACATACTTGCTTCTACACTCATTTCCTTTTTTCTTGTTTTATTTTAGGTTTTTGTCATTCTCTTACACTATACGTTTAATTACCTACAGGTTCAAAGTTTAGCTTTAAGAATCTTAAAATTTTGGAATGGTTTGAAATAGTGGTTACAACTCCGCCTTTAACCCTTGTGGTCAGGTTGGAATTATCCTTATATCCCTCCTTCTCCCATTGTAAATAGAAATTGTAAATATGCACGCGCCTGAAAAATAGTACTCCCATTGTAGTTGATACTCACATTATGACATGTAAATTATACGAAGTACTAGTAAAAAATATAAATTATGACTTGCTTTATGGGTCCATTCTATTTAACTTAATTTTGCTTATTATCTTAACTTATTAATATTGATCCGAACTTATAATATACTTATTGAATTTTTTTTATTTTTTTTTTTTTGAGAATGCAATACTTATTTTTACTTATTAGAACTTATCAGAACTTATTAGTATTGATTTGAAATTATTTGAACTTATTAGTGTTTCGAAGTTTTTTGATGTCCTGCGGGAGAGTTACAATTCCAAGATTGGTCTCTGGACTCCTGTACCTGCAAAATAGCGGAGACTTCGGGTGGGTGGAGTTCCGCCTCCAACGATCAAGTTAGAACGTGTATGGAGTCTGTAAAAAGTGCGGAAAGTGAAGTATTTTCTCGGATTTCGAGAGAATATCTGCAATTAATGATTGCTCTGTTTTTTGCGTATATTTCTGAATGTGTCCCATGATGGGAACATCTCTCTATTTATAGGGTCTTGAAATGTGTGCCGCCATCCTAGGTAACGAAAACTTAGGAATGGAGGGCTTCCTCGGGAATTGGGCTAGAAAAGCCGTCATTTTACCCAATCATTGGGTATGCCACGTGTCAGCATGGGATTGGTTCTCTGGAACCTCTCCTGAGAAATCTCTCTAGTAAACCCACCGCCTGCTTATTAATTTGTTTAATTTTGTTTGCAGGGCAACACGTCCAGGTCCTCTCCTGCTTCCCAGCCGGACCCCAAAGTCCGAAAGCAGACGGCTAGGGACGTCTCCACACCTGGGAATGCCAGGCGGCCTTCTGCTGAGAAGCAGAACAGGAACCCCCCCTAGAGGGGTTAGGACGCCTGTTACCCCGGCGACCAGCCGGCCTCCAAGGGATACCAAAGTTAGTTGCCTTTCTTTTTGTGAATTTTTGAAGGGCCGCCTGTTTTATGAGAACCAGGCGACTTGTTTTTCGTGTTTTGACTGAATTTAACCAATCTTTTTTTGCAGGCGCCCCTGCTGAGATTGACCTGGTCCAGATGGCCAGGACTATGCTGCGCTCCATTCCTACTGAGGAGAAGGACCATGTGCCAGGAGTCGGCACCCTGAATTTGGAGGCCATCCTGGCTGAGGTAACTTAGCACTTTTTAATGCTTTATTGGTTTAAGCCGCCTGTTTATTTGACGCCTGGTGTAACTGACGCCCGCAGACTATGCTCCGCGTGCAAGGGCTCTGTCGGCCCATTAATGAGAAGAACCGAGAGGTAAATTCTGCCAAGGCCATGACGCCTCTGATTTTGACAAGGCTATGTTCCAGATAGCCCAAAATGAAATCTTGACGATTGACATCCTTTATTCTCAGGCGTCAGCCAATTTGTAGGTCAAGAAGGACCTTGAGGCGGCCAGGGCCAAGATTCAAGAGCTGGAGCATTCCTTGGCGGCCCTTAGAGAGGAGATGGAGCCTCTCAGGCAGGCGGAGAAGGAGGAGGAGAGCCTGCGTAGGCGCCTTACCAAGCTGAAGAGCCGCCTACAGACTCAAGAGGCGGACCTTACTGCTCAAATTCAAGCTCAACTGTCGGAGGCGGAGCAAAAGGACAAGGAGGTCCTCGTCCAGGACATGAATGATGACTATATGGCCATCATGAAGAGTTCCTGGGCTGCTCTACTCCCTAATTCCAACTTTGAAAAATGGGATAAGCAGTTCGCCACCTGTTCTGACGCCTACAATGCTGAAATTCTTGGTCAGATAGACGATGAGGAGGCGGCCGAAGAGGAGGAGGAGTCATCTGACTCTTCTTCTGAGTCTGAGCAGGAAGGCGAGGCGGCAGGGGAGCCGAGGTAGGGGGAGCCAGCCTAGGAGGAGCCGCCCCAGGAAGGTCCTGCGTAGGAGGAGGCGACTGCTGAGAAGGACCAGGCGCCAGTTGAGGACTTGCCTCAGACGCTTGCTAAACTTGACCGCCCTCCTTCTGCTTAATTAAGCTATGCTTTATTTTTTCTATTTATACGGCCTGCGTGCCGTTTTTTTCTTTACCCGGCCAAGGGGTCGGGGTTTATTGACGATTCTCAATTCGTCAGTCGGCCTTTTGGCCGACTGTTTTAATTAATTAATCAGCCGACACTTTTGGTCGATTTTCATTACTTTGATTGTGTTTTGATTTTTTGCCATTTTTCTTTGAATATGGTAAGCCTGTAATACAGTACATAAAAGTTGCACAAAGTAATATGGTAATTTATCATCTGACTGAAATAATTTAGTAATATAAATTAACTTAAAGCTTAAACTTAAATCTATAATCCAGTACTAATGGTGATCCATAAAAATTACAAGCTTTTAGTTAAAATAACTAAGGGCAAATTAACCACAAATATTGAGTTACTATGTAGAGATCCGAATATAAGCTTAAAACATAGCCTAATACTTGGTTAAGCTACATCCACCAAAAACGCATGTCCTAAAACGTACACCTAACCTGGTCAAGAACACCTAAGTCATTTCTAGAGCACATCTAAAGCATTTCAGAATTCAGATGGACCCGTGCACCATTCCATGCTTTTCCTCATTAGTAACTCATTATCAAAAGTCACTTTGTCACCCAGACCAATAGTGTCGCAATCCACCAATTGTGCCTGCTTCCGTTTAACCTGATTAATTTGATTCCAAAAAAGTAAATGCAGCAGCTACTTGTATTACAAAGTTAATATTGAAAGGCATGTATAATGAAAAATCATAACAGGATATTTACTGGAAGTATATCGGGAGCAGCCACATCAGGGCTACAGGTGAGTCTGCACCATCATTCCTTCGTTTTCAGCATCATTTGGTTCCTACATTATCAGCAAAACAACTAAATGACAAACAACCACTAGCTAAATTACAGATATCGCAATAAGTGTAAAAAACATAAAGATTGCTGCCATATTTTAGCCTTCTGCTGTTTTGGTTTTTTGTAACCTATATCAGCTAAACCTTTGTTACTTGAACCTTTGGCCTACCTCGAGGCTTCTTCGGTGAACCGGGTCCTTAACAGTAGCACCAATTTCCTTTACATTTTCTACATGAGTTGGTTTCTGAACAGCCAAGGCTGTACCACTGAACCCTGCACTCGCAGATCCCTGAAAATCATTCGGGAAATTTAGAGCTATGGTTTGCTCAAGCTTCGTCTTCCTACACTTATCAACATCCAACCGCAACTGATTAATTGAGTCTATGACCATTTGTACCGTCTCATCATTCACCATGGCCGCCTCTTCACACAATGGCTCAGCAACTTTCAATAGCATATTGAACCGTTTCACATGAACCAACTTCGGATGGATCATCAGCAGTTACCTTCACCCTTGTATGTTTGCGCATTATGTCCTTTTGCCACCGGCTTACAATATATCTCTCAGGCACATCAAGCACAAAATTCCGATCTAATATACTGATGGTGTGTTTACACATAATACCATGTGTTTCAATTTTCCTGCAATTACAACATACTTCCGTTGTTTCGGTGTTGAAGGTAACACAATAATACCTATGCCGATCAGTAATTACCTCTCACTCTTACCAGGTGGAACAAGCCACACTCGGTCCTCAAGAGTGTACTCAATTATATTGTCAGAAATTACTCGCTCACCTCTATCATACACATACATCATCCTCGAAGAACATTCTGTCTGGACTTCTTGAAATTTTGTGTCCGTAGCTTTTGAAAGACCTTCTCCGTCTTGAAACCACTCACTAACCTCCTCAAGTACTTTGAACAGTAAGCATCTGCATTGGTTTCATCACGTATCCGCTTATCCATGCCCTACGATACTTGTGAGGAATTCAAACAGCTTTGTATGTCGAGTAAGAAAACCCGTCAAAAAAGCTATTAATGCTCTCAACCCTTTGCGTAGTCTTCATACTGGACCAAAAATACTCCTTCATATAGGCCGCACCCACATATGTCTCTCTTTAAACAGCCTAGTAAGCCATTCATTTTTCTCAAGCTTGTACTGAGACATTAGCGCACACCAACGCGTTTCAAACTCATCAGTCATAAAACTCTCACATATGACCTCCTTCAATTTGGTTTGAATTCTGTGTACCTGATTGTTAAAATAAAGTTATATAGCACATAGGTTTGATCAAAATTCAGATTAACGCCAACACTTTGTGACAGAGTAAATTAAATCAATATTTCAGATTTTCATTCCACATAAACAAGTAGTTTAATTAATAAGTTTATGATAATTATAAGTGACATTTGCTTTAGAATTATATGGACAAAACTAGCATGCAAACCGTTTTGAAAACAAATGTATCTTAGACACATCACAAGTCGAAGTAATCACACAAAGCATCATAAAATTAGAAACCTGATCAAGCATTCTAAAAAGAGTGAAGTTTACTAACCCTACCAAGTTCACAAATTAATTATTATTTAATGGTAGTTCTCCAATTGCAGAATAAATGGATGCAAGTTCTGCCTCGAAATCATCAATATATAGCCAGTTGTAGCTGAGCTGTAGAGTGGTTAGCCACATCAACTCTTCTCGTGTATACTTCTATGCATTCTTGTTCAAGCTCAACTATCATCTTATTCAGTTATCCCTATTTGTTTCATGCTTGCCCATTTCATCCTATACTATACCATCTAAATAAAATAGTAGGCAAAAAAGAACAGAGTTCCGTTTCATCCCATATCATCTAAATAAAATAGTTGGCAAAAAAGAATAGAGTTCCATTTCATCCCATATCATCTACATTAAATAGTAGGCAAAAAAGAACAGAGTTAACCAACGATGAAAACAAGATAGAAATAGCATCCTAACCTTGAAGAGTTGAAGTGCAAACCTTAAAACAGTCATATCATCCAAGAATATTAATCCAAAAAAATAAAGGTCCAAGAATCAGATTGAGATTGACTATGCTAGGAAGGTTTGCAACAATGCCCCTTAAGCTTTTGTCCAATCTAATAACATTGACATCAGTCTTATTTTTAATTCTCATTTTCCATTATAAGATTAAGATCCTCTCTCGTTCTTTTACCCTTTATTACTGGAAGTTCAAAGCAATCACCACATGGTCACCTTATTAGTTCATCAATGAGCTTGATACTGACCTTTTTTCGAATTAAGTTGGAAACCCTAAATTACCAAATAACAATTTTGGAACATCTGAACCACAGAAGTTCATCTATGAGCTTGATACCCATCCCAACTTCTGACTTTTAAAAGTGTGTACAGGTTTCCTGCACAATCAAGTATTCGCCATCTTGCTGCTTCCTGCCTACAAACCAAGCCGTTTACTAAATCTCTGAAGCTGATTATTAAATTTCTTGGCGCTAAATTAGAATACACTTCACTTATTTTGGCCTCATCCAAAACCTTATTAGTCATTCATTTACCCGATTTCGCTCAGAATCCAATTCTACAGCTACTTGAAAGAAAAGGGCTTAATTGCACGTAAACAACACCAATCAAACTCACCAAAATCCCACTTTCTAAAGCAAATGCTCGATAACTGAAATAGCAAACCAAAAAACTCGAGAAACATAAATAGCTAGTAAAAAAAGCATTGAAGGTGAGACTAACCTTACATTTTATAAGGATCAGCACCAGTGTATCTAGTTGGTTTCAGAATAGGAATCAAAACCTATGCAACATTCAAATCAGTGATTGCAAACTCAGTAACAAAATTCATCACCCAAATTATTCAAAGTAACAAACTAAAAATATAAAACAAAAATTAGCAAAATATATATATATATATATATATTATATATATATATATATATATAATATATATATATATATATATAATATATAATATATATATAAAAGAAGGGCGGGGGGGATGAAATTACCCCTCGATTAACCTTAAATAATGGTCGTTCACTGTTCATAAGCTCTACGACAGTCATTCTTTGTGTGTTCTCTTTTTATTTTCTATTGAATATATTCTAGTTTTGTGTTATTTTAATAATGATTCAAAAGGATAGGAAAGGAAGAAGTGACCTATTTCACAAAAGAGCTCATTGACTTTCTGTGCTGTTTTAGCAAAAGTTTCACAGAAATGCAACCCATTTTCTTTTGCATATTCATAAGCAATCTGCAACAGTTATCAGTTTGATTAACTTCTTCCTGCAGTGCTCTTAAACCAAAACTTTTTCGGAAACTAAACAAAAATGTATTTGGTAATGTCTTAATCTTACTGAAACTGCAAATACAGTACAGTCCTCCTAAGAGACATGTAAGCAGTAAGTTTAATAACTATGACTCGTCTTACATGAGCCTCGAGAAAAGGACCTAACAATACTCACAATCCAAGCATTAATCAGAACACCTTATTCTAAATAACTGCCATTAATTTTACAGAGGCTATTTGACCTAGAGTTGGTTATGAGAAAAGTAAGTTCTGAAAATGGACTTTCCTATGTGTTTAAGTGTTATTAAGTAATGATAATAAATCAATCCAGGAATTAAGGCAACTGATGTTAAAGAGCCCCTAGACCTTCAAAATAGCGCTGTTGAGTTTTTTCTCATTATTCTCTCTTTTAAAGGTTATTTGAGAAACATATGTCCACACTTTAGCACTTATTGATAAGAAATGCAACAACATTACAAGGTTACATATTATTAACCACCCTAACACACATGACATTTGGGATATCGTACATTTCCTTAGTACATGGATTTTTTTTTATTTAATCATTAAAGTTAATCTAAATGATTATATATATATCCTGTTATAATACAAGCAACAAAAACCAGCAGTTAAATAAAAAGAACCGAGGAGGAGGATACCCCTTAGTGTGGAGAAGACCAATTGCAGATTCAAAGGGGACGGTTAAGCAAAGGTATATTCAAATGTAAAAGGGTTCAAAAACCAGTTGAAGAGTTTAAGAATGGACTGTAAAGATTTAGTGCTAACCTGGAAGAGTCTGAGATTCTTTATCTCATGCCATTTGTAATTGTCTGGCGGCAAAATTGCAGTTTCATTCTACGTTCTGCTTGATTTTTTAATAAGATTCCTACAAAATCACATTGATAGAAAGTTAAGTATATGACTTAAAAACCAAAACAAAAAATATTCTCAAAGAAATATTAAATTTGCATTCTAAAAACGAACTATAGACCCAGTAAATTATCGCCATATACAACTATGACCAAACATAAGAAAATTTAACCAATCCTACTGAAATTGTTCTTTAAAACCTCAGTTACTCCAGCAATAACACAAACTATGCAACCAGATATTGCAAATTACGTTCAACAAAGCAATAAGGGTCTTGCTTTGTTAATTGAAGTGTGCAGCTACAGTCTACAATGGAACCATACATTGGAATTCGACCAAAATGAAAAAGCTTAATTAGTAAATTAATAAACAGAAAAGCTACCTCAAATAACCAAAATCTATATAGATTGCATCTAAATACCAATCACCTGCTATTTGCAACCCATCACCACTAAAATCGAACATAACCGCTACCAATCACCAAAAGTTAATCAATACAAAACTAAATTTAAAATCCATCAATCAATGATAACCACTATCAATACTGAATGAACTATTCACCAAAAAAAATACTGAATGAACTAAATACCTTGAATGCAGATACATCGAACTCACCAACACCTTCACCAGAAACACTACGCTGAACTGCAAGCAACATAAACTACAATCATCAGAACCGAATCCAAACATAGTTTCTGAACTGCAGCACAAGATACGACTATAGAACAATCAACACAATTTCTTAATTATTATAAAATTCTTTACTAAATAAAACCCCAAAAGTAAATGACCGAAGGAGAACTCAACAAACTCGTAATTAATAAATGATCAGAATAACTCAACCAAAAGTAAGATAAAAAATCAACTAAATAATCAGAAATCAGATTAACTCAACCAAAAGTAAAAAGATAACAAAAATTTGATAGAGTTTATGAATTGTGAAATCAGAATTTCCATTTATTAAATCAGAATTTCCATTAGTAAAAATTCACACTTATTCAGTACGAGTAATTACCTCAGCAATAATGGAAGAAAGGAAGCTCAGAACACGCTTCAATGGAAAACTCAGATTGACCTTCAATGGAAGAGCGAAAAATCTTAAAAGCAAAAGTGGAAAAATGGCTGGACAATAGCAGAGGAGGAAAGAGAAAGAGAGTAGGATGAGAGAGAAAACGGAAATGAATGAGTGATGGCAAGTGAATTCAGGAAAAGTAGGACTGACCGCTGAGGTAGAAAGCAAAGGAATTCAAGATCCAATGGCAAGACCGCAAATAACATCCCAAGACAAGGACAAAACCGTTCGCACACTGCCCTACTGTTCATAAGGAACAGTTCTGCTGATCTTCTCACTTTTTAAAGAGTGTAGATTAAATTTGAATTTTGGATACAGTGGGAAAAGATTCGTTACACCAAGTAAATCAACAAGGGACAACTTCCCTTAGCCAAAACTCCTACACAGTCAACACTTAGTCAAAACTTGATCAGAATCAACAGGTCTTATAAACACAACATCCAAAAAAAGAAGCAAAAAAGTAAAGGGACAGCTGCAATCATATGCGAGAGTGTACAAAAAACATAACAGACTTACATTGAGCACTTGCCAAGTTATTCGGGAAACTTCCTGGTTATATGCCATATACACCACCGATGCCTAGTACCAGGCATCACCTCAGCTAGCAGTTTCCTCATGGCAGCCGCTTGGTCAGTCAATATGGCTACAGGAGCCCTATTATTCATGCTAGCCAACCACTACTTGAAAATCTAAGAAAACGTATCTGAATCTTCACGAGATTCCAACGCACACCCAAGCAAAATTGTTTGCCCGTGGTGGTTAACTCCAACAAAATTAACAAATGGGAGCTCGTAATCATTGGTTAAATAAGTTGCATCAAAACAAACAACATCACCAAAGTCATCGTACGCCGCACGACTAATACATCCTTCAGCCGCCCTTCTACATCAAGCCGTGGAGCATGAAAAAAATTGTCATTCCCTGCTTGCATCTTATCAAAATATTCCATCATAGCCACAGCATCACCCCCGACCATCTTTAACCTTCTAGCCTTATAAACCTCATGCTGTAAATCCTTGACAGTCAACGGCATTTCCCTCTCCGTTCCCAAGCAACTATGTATTTGTGTAACAGGTACACCCTTGTCAAAGTAATTCAACAACTTCTTTCGAACGGTGGAGGTCATATGCTTCATACGATACTCCTTAACGAGCTTCGAGTTACTAGGGGACGGCTTGTGCCTCTCATGTTTCAATTTCACCCCCCCCCTCACTACTCACTCTCCTTCTTCATTAACACTAGCATATACCATGGCAGGGCACTCACATTTTTTGGACGTCTCTTGCCACGCCCCAACTCATCCTCGCCTACTACACCATCTACAACTCCACCTGTACCTGAAACATCCATGGCCATAGCCCTTTTCTTAGCTTCTCTCCTTGCCCTTATATCAGGTCTACCCTAACACTCACACCTCCAAGTCGTGGCTATTCTCTTCTTCTTGTCCTTTGAATTTACTCCTTGCGCCTAGCAACGCCAAAACCAATCTGCTCAGCATAGTCCTTATAATAGGATTCGACATCTTGCCAGGTTTTTAAATACCATACCAACTTGAGGTGGTTCTACCGTTGTAACAACAGTTATGTTATTGCTAGCAACAATAGTTTCGATTGTCTCAATTGTCTTCATAAGAGAAACATATTGACTTTCACTATACATTTCTGACTCATTGTTTTCTACACCCTCAAAGACAAATTCATCAAGTCCCTCAACCTTGTTGAAACCATTCCCAATCAATTTTACTCCACTACTCCTATCAACTATGTCAACATGCTCACTGCCCCTGATTATAGATGGCATTTCAGGATGCCCATCACCCCTAACAACTCCACCTCTTTATCTGCTTCATTTATAAACCACAAACATGGTGTAAATAAGAAAAATTCCACACAACACAGAAAATATATTCAGGACAAAATCTCTAATACACTGAATTTAGGAATAGAATCGTAACAGCGACCATTAAAAAAATCAAACGTATATAACAAAGCATCATAATTATTACCCAATCAACTATAGCTTAGCAGTTATAGTGGTAATTATTATCCCCAATGCCACTTCATTAGTCTTTTTACTGGTAATTATTTTAATAGTAATAAATTTCGAATTACAAAGAGGTCCCTAATCTGGTAAATCTAGCAGCAATTCAATTCTAACATTCAATTATATTGCAAAATTAAATCTTGTTGACTCTATACTCAAGCAACTAACTGTTAATTACACAATTAACACCTTGGTAGTAAAGCTACAACTACTAATTTAAAAATTAATGCGCCTCTACTAAACAGACAAATATTAGTAACCAGGTTCATTGAAACAACATTTGCTTACCTTCCATTGATAACAAGTTCCAGCACAGATCTGAGACTCAATTGGCCGCTCTCACTTTCTCAGGTCTACAACATCCATTACCAGATGCAACAGTACAGAGCTTCACAGACCGGTGTCTACAGATTTTCGAGCTTCACTGACTTTGTAAATTTGCAATTAAAAAATGATGGGTGTGAAAAAAAAAAGACAAGATCCGAGAGCTGTGAAAAAAAAAAAAAAAAATCCAAGAAAAGTTACATTAACGATGTTAAATGTTTATAGAGTTAACTCCATCAAACGGAGTCACTTTGGTTACACAATCATCATCTCAGCAAGTATAAAACAATTAAATAATCACTAAGCACGAATTCATAGCCACAAAATAATGAATATGTCATTTGAGATACAAAAATTGTATCTTTATTTGAGGTACCGGGGCCTCTTTCATAAAATATGCTTTTGGAAGGACTACCAATTTTAATGACAATGTAATACAAAAAGCCTTTGAAAAGACTCATACAATAATTAGAAATACGGCTATTTCATCAAATGTCACTCAGTACTTAAAAAATTCACCAAATGTCATCGTGTTTTTCAAAATTCACCAAATGTCACTGAGGTTTAGTACAATATCACCAAATGTCATTTCCGTTAGTTGACCGTCAATGTCCGTTAGTAGACCGTTAGTTGACTCCACCACTTGCCACGTGTCACCTTCTAATTGGTCAGTTTTTTAAAAAAAATAATTAAACAAAAATTAAAAAAAAAACCAAAAATATTTGAAAAAATTAAAAAAAAATTAAAACTAACTATAAATTTTTTTTAAAAAAAACAACAACAAAAAAAAAAAGAAACTCAGAGGTGGCCAGCCACCACCTCCTCCCTGTCGTCGAGCCCCCTGCCCACCCCAAAACCCTAGCCACCACCACCCCCTGCCGTCGGGGCTAGCACCGGAAGGTGCGCCGGCTGCCGGCGACCCCTCCTCTATCCCGTCGCGACCCCGTAACCCGCGAAACCCCACCCCCCTTCCTCCACCACCCCGAAACCCCACCCCCCTTCCTCTCCCTCTCCGTTAGTTCACAACCACGCAGCGAGCTTACCACACCAACTCCCACCAGCACCTGCCAACACCAACCACTGCATCTCAAAAGCCGACCAGCAGCAACTCCAATCACCACCAATTTTTGTGAAGAACCCTAAACAAATTGAATTGGGATTTTTTGTTTGGTGAAGCAATTCACAAAATTGTTTGCTCTAATTGATTGTATGTTGAATTGTGAACATTTTGGTACAAGTTTAAAAAAAATTGGTGAAAAAATGATGTTTCTCAAGCTTTCATGCGTGAGCTTCAACGGAGCTTCAATGGCGTTTTTGTGCGTTTGGGAAGAAGAAGGGAAGGGGAGAGGGGCCGACATCGGCGGAGAAATGGCGGCGAGAGAGAAGGGGGGTGGGGTTTCGGGGTGGTGGAGGCTGGTGGCTGGGGTTCCGGGACTGCCGGCGGCTGGGCTGGTGGCTGGGGTTTGAGGTTCAGTTTTTTTTTTAATTTTTTGTTATTTTTTTTACTTTTTGTTATTTTTAATTTTTTTTAAAAAACGGACCAATCAGAAGGTGACACGTGCTAGTGGTGGGGTCAACTAACGGTCCACTAACGGAAATGACATTTGATGATATTGTACTAAACCTCAGTGGCATTTGGTGAATTTTGAAAAACACGGTGGCATTTGGTGAATTTTTTAAGTACTCAGTGGCATTAGTGAAATAGTCGTTAAAAATACGTGCGACCAAAACTAAAACTTAAACCTTGCTACAAAGATAATGTTAACTAATTATATACAACCTCGTGATAGCAAAAATCTCATCTACTATCATTTCCTCGGTTTTTTCCTTGCATTGAAATGCTCTGTCTGATAATGGCAATTTGTCTGCAATTTCTTAACAAGAGCAATCTTTTCGATAGCATCAGAAGCAATCTTTTCAATTGGGGAAGACCCGAGACTGGAAGCACTTTCCACACCCCTATATTTTATAACCAAAGGACGTATCTCCTTCACAATATTTGCATCTACTTTAAACAAATTCACAGCATCATTGAGTGTCTCCTTTGATTTTTCTACCTGACCTTTACAATAAAGGTTCCTCACTTCATCCCACGATTGCTTACCACCTTTATAAGCTACTTCAAGTTCTTGAAATAATGAAGAAAGCTTATTAAAAGCAATTGCAAATTGTTTCCTTTGCCACATAGATTGTAGAACAGGTGGAGGGTGCATTGGGGGGGGGGATAGATTCTCCATAATGTATCTCCAACACAGTTTCAAACCGCGATCAAGAAATACTATCAGAGCACATACTCACACTCGAATCACCATATGAGTTCTGATAACAAACATATGTATCTCCATTATAATCACAAATATCAAGAAGTACAACTGCATGTGTTGCCTCAACAGTTGAATTCACTCCTTTTTGGTCTACTATAACCTCCTTTTTCACTTCCATTTTACCCTCATAGACATACTCACCATTCATAGGGTAATCTTCCGTGATTTTAATCACGCCTACAACAGGAAACTCGACAAGCAACTCTCTCAAAAAACCTAGTTTCACAGGGTATTGACTATTAAAATACTGAATTTTATGTCTATCCTGGTCATAAAGAGGCACACCAAAAATTTTAGCACTTTCCAATAGTTCACTTGGCCTCCATCTACAAAATGGATTACGATCAGGATTTCTTTGGATAAGCTCATCGGGCCATTTTTCATGATTTATATAGCAGATTCTTTGACGCAATGAAATTGGAACTTCAATTGATACTCTAGCTGTCTACCAACTACTGCAAAAGTACAAATATCGTTGCGTTGTTGATTGTGTGGCTGAGTTATTTGCACACCATTTTTAATGTAATGCTTCAAATGATAACGTGCAAGATAATTATGACGTTTAACCTGTTGCATAGAATGTATTTATAGCACATTATATAAAAGTTAGATTGAACAAATAATTCATATCATGTTCATAAAATATTAAAATTAACCTATGCAACTATCATATAATGAAAAACCTACTAATAATCTAAGTCCTAGCTTTCAATATATCATCTTTTTGTAATTGTGGCGTGTAAGGCAAGAGATAAAAGAAATAGAGAATAAGCCATAA